CCCAAAAAATCCCATTTCCCCCTTTTTATTGCTTGTGGATTAATGTTTCCCCCCTCCCCTTTGCTTTTTAAGCGGAGTTTAGAGCTCTGCCTCTCGCTGAAGTGTTTGGATTTTTTATTTATTTAATCCCCCCCCCTCTTTTTTTTTTTTTTTTTTTTTTTTTTCTCTTTTTTTTTTTTTTTTTTTTTGTTCCCCCTCTGTAAAATAAGTCTGCAGGGACGTGTGAAGAATAGTTGTACAAGAATCTGGCTCTTTTGTCTATAAAGCAGCCCTCCCACCGCTCTCCATCCCTCGTCCCCCCACCAGCACAACCGTGGCGAGAAACACTTCGGGAGGGACAAAACCCGGCGAAACGCAGCACCTCGGCGGAGAAAAAGCAAACAAAAAAATTAAAAAAGGGGGGAAATGTAAAAAAATCCCGTTTTGGGGCTTGATTTCCTTCGCCTGCCTAGGATGAGGGCTGCGAAATACAGATCTGGTTGCCGTCGCGGGGACATTTTTAAGTACAAAGCGCCTTTTTGACAGTACTGAAGAAAAATAAGTGTGCATTGTCTCTCCGGATTCATTGTGTTGGCTATTACCATACTGACCGTTTGGTAACCTGTACCTCGGCCCATTAGCAATCTGTGCTTTCCAGAAAAAAATGAAGTACCTATCTACTGGGGGTTCGTTATCCCGTGTTTAATAATAATAGGGAAAGCGGGGTGGAAGCTCGCGGTGGATGAACTCTGCCTCCTGGAGACGCGGGAGGTGGGAATCGGTTCGGGAGCGGAGTTTTATTCCGAGCCTGCTTTGCGGTGGTTGTTGCACAGTTGGCGGCGGGAGAACCGAAAACCTGCATCTGTATATTCTTTTTCAATATTTTTTTTTTTTTTTTAGGAGTTGGCTTCTCGCCGCCGGAGGCGACGACACGGAATTCATTAAATTTTATTTTTTTTCCCCCTACCAACTTGAAAGCAGTGAGCGCAAAGAAGACCTTTTCTTTTTGTCCCTTCCTAATGCGAATAGACAAGGTCTAATTTATGCAAAGAAATATGCAAATGTTTAATTGATTTTTTCCTTAAATCTGTTGTCAGTAAAAGTAATGAATCGGCCTAAAACGATTTTAATAAGCAAAGCCTGTCACCCGAAGTCCTAGCCTTCACATTTTTCTCTTGAGCCTCTTTCGCCTCAAAGAAACTAATAATGTAAATATTTATCCCTTCGTTTTAACGCATTAAAGACGAATCCCTCTTGTTTGCGAAAGAGCTAAAAAAAAATAAAATAAAATATGCAAAACATTTT